AAATGTCCTGTTTAAAATTAATAAAACAATGAACAGAAACAAAATAACTTCTCTTCAACACTTGCTTCAACAGTTTCTTTTAATCATCAAAAAGAAATCAGGTAAAACATTTCTTTAAAAATAGAGGTAAAGTTGGTTTTATATTCGCACATTCAGACTTTGCCCTTAATAATATAATTTCATAAAAGTATTATTTGCAAACTCTAAACAGTAAAATCATATTAGCAGCAAATGACTATCAAAGTACAACATTGTTCACAGTCAAATAATCAGTGCTAATGTTGTTTTCAACCCTGCTGAAAAATCCAGCTTAAACCAGCTTAGGCTGGTTGGCTGGTTTTAGCTGGTCGACCAGGCTGGTTTTAGAGGGGTTTTGGCCATTTCCAGGCTGGTTTCCAGCTATTTCCAGCCTGGTCTTAGCTGGTCAGGCTGGAAAATGACCAGCCAAATCCAGCTTGACCAGCCTGGTTTAAGCTGGATATAGCTGGTTTTGGCTGGACTCCCAGCTTGGCAAGGCTGGTCAAGCTGGTTTTAGCTGGTCATCTCCCAGCCTAACCAGCTAAGACCAGGCTGGAATTGGCTGGAAACCAGCCTGGAAATGGCCAAAACCCCTCTAAACCCAGCCTGGTCGACCAGCTAAAAACAGCCTAGGCTGGTTTAGGCTGGATTTTTCAGCAGGGAAGACACACTTGCATGCTAATTTCGATCGAATTCAAAGTAACAGTAAACAGTATAGAGACTTCTAAATGAACAAATATGCGAATATAAAACCAACTTTACCTCTATCAGAAAAGTTTGGGAAACCCTGCTTTAAAACACTTATTACACCCTTTTCTGTTTCAAACAATAACCCTCGGCTACTGAGAATAAAATAGTACTACGATGTATAAAGGGTTTGTAAACAGCAGGTAAATAATTTAGCATCGGAAGAAAAAAATCCTGAAACTTTAATTAAATCGGTTTATATCTGTAAACGTTTTAAAGCACAAACCTTTCTCCAGTTGAATCACAGCGCTGAAGCGGCGCCACCTGATGACGTCACACGCCACGCCAAAATAAGAGTCTTTATTTTATCTCGCTTTTTTGCCACTTACTGTTGCAGTCATGACTTATTGATACATTTCTCCCATGTTTTTCACTTTATACTATCTCTGCTCTCTCTCTTTTTCTCTCTTTCTCTCATATTTCACATTTTAGGTGCTTTTTTGGCATGACAAATAACTGTACATTCGTATTGCCAAAGCAGTGCAGCGTCGCTGCGTACAAACAAGACAGTGCAAAAAGGGCAGTAGTGCAAACAAATATGGACATAAAATATAATAAATATAATATAACAGAGAAAACACAGAAATAAATAAAATAAAAATAGATTAATAACATTAAAAAGATTAATAAAAAATATTTTAAAAAATAGATTAGATTTCTCTCTCACACACACACACACTTCAGTATTTTAAAGTTGATCAAAAAATTTTAATCTACACATTTTAAGAAAATTTTGAGAAACTTTTTTTTAATCCAGTTCATGATGATCTACAACACATTACTTCTATTAATATCTGAGTCCAAATCTCATCCTCATAATTATGTCCTCTTTTATAATTCTATAGTGTTTCTTATTGTTTCATATAAATTGTTTACTCTTATTATCTGTTCCACGTTTCCTGCCATTCTTTGGTAGTTTCTTCAGTGATAATATTTAATTTACTTTTACTTACAGAAGCATTAAAGGGATAGTTCACATAAAAATTACAATTCTGTCATTTACTCATCCTCCACTCGAGCCAAACCTGTTTGAGTTTCTTCTGCTGAATTGAAATGAAAAGAATAAGCTACAGGGTCAAAAAGCAGCAAGTTCGACAGAAGCAAAAACAGTCACTATATGGTTCAACAGCTCCTACTTTGGACATGGCTGCTTTTTTCAACGTTTTCTGGCACACAAAATGTTCTTGGAACTCGATTACAATTGAACCAGTAAAGTCACTGTCAAAGTCAATATTTTGGTTCCTTTTCTAGACTTTGAGCATCTCGGGACTCTTGCTGTCTATGACAGATGAAGGAGCTCTCTGATTTCATCTAAAGTGTCTTCATTTGCGTTCTGAAGATGAGCAAAGTTCTCAGGGGACTGAAACAACAGGTAGAGGGACAATCGTTCTCGAGTGCCTAGTGCACACTATAACACACGCATTCCACCACAGCTGATATACAGCCACATTCCACTGCTTTTTTTATTTATTTATTTTTATTGCAATAACATCAGACCATTACAACAAATAGAATTACAAAAACTGATAGCACTGATACTCATGTGATGATATTATTCATATATTCATTCATTTTCTTTACGGCTTAGTCCCTTTATTAATCAGAGGTCGCCATAGAGGAATGAACCTCCAACTTATCCAGCACATGCTTTACACGGCGGATGCCCTTTCAGCTGCAACCCATTACTGGGAAACATACACACTCATTTACACACACTGCATGCATACCGCATGTCTATTGACTTTGGGGAAACCAGAGCATCTTGAGGAAACTCACACGAACACAGGGAGAACATGCAAACTTCACACAGAAATGAAAACTGACATAGGTGAAGCTCGAACCAGCAACCTTCTTGCTGTGAGGTGATCATGCTACCCACTGCACCACTTTGACGCCTCACATTAAAGTATTGAACAGACCCAGCTGAGGCTCGAACCAGTGACCTTCTTGCTGTGAGGAGATCGTGCTACCCACTGTGACGTCTCACATGTATAATTATTTGAGGTATTAAACTGGTATTGGTGAATAACTATGCTTAAAAATGTTTATTTTTAAAATGTGTGAAAAGACACCATTCAGATGTAGCGATTGTAATGATTTGGGCAATCAAGCATGTATGGTTATAGACACTATGCTTATTTGTCTTAAGAGGTGTAAGGCAGGTCTTTATCATGCATAAGGCAGGTCTTGTTCATGTAATATGCTTTAACCTATCAAGTTGGTATTGGAGCGAGCAGCTACACCCGTTACAGGTTTCTTATATGTAAAACAATCCTATTCAGGTAATGGTGTGGCCTATCAGGCAGCTATTAATAAATACGACTGCACATGATGATGAGCCATTTATTTAAATGAATATGTGACACAGATATTTAAATTTCATTGTTGCAAACAAGTTACAGGAGCAAGTTCAGTTGTTGTTGTATGTGATGTCCACCACTGTAAACACACCATGGTAAAAAGAATTCTGAGAAATGGTGTAGGTGGAGCAGGTTAATCACCCTGAATTACCCTTTATAAACTGCCCATACAATAATTTTACTTGTGATGAAATTATTTTCTAATTATAAATATATAGATGCATGACAGATTTAATATTGGACTCCACAATGGTAAGACCACAGCTTAAAATCGCATCACGTGCGTGCATGAGACAGAATATTAAGATTTAAATATTAAGAATATTTATAGGATATAATAAGAATAGATATAGAATATAAATATTAAGGATTTAAATATTACAAAACATATTATTTTCTAGCCTAAATAAATATGAAAAACCACTGCTTTTATGTATTCTTCATCTCTGGAGGCTTTTTCAGTTCATTCATATATATAAGCCTACCTTAGACAGAGAGGGTGCATTTAGAAGCTGCTATGCTATGGAAGTTTCTGACTAGAAGTTGCTTTCTTGATTTGTTTGTGTTACTTGTTGCTTGATTTTGGCCTGTACTAAGACAGATCTCTTTTGTTGAGAGATCTGTCTTGGTAACCTTTAGGGCTCTATTTTGGCGGTCCATGCGCAAAACGCAGGGCGCAAACGCTTTCAGCACGTGTCAGAACGCATTTTTGCTAATTTAAGGACGGGAAAATCCATTTTGCGCTGTGGCGCATGGTCTAAAAGGGTTGAGTTTGTTTTCTTAATGAGTTATAGTTGTGTTTTGAGAATAAACCAATCAGAGTCTCATCTCCTATTCCCTTTCAGAGTCAGCTGCGTCGCGCCATAAGCACATTCACTATTTACAGGACGTAAAGTCAGTCTAAGTGGAAAAACTGAGCATTTCACTAACAAACAGTAAACAGTTTTTTAACAGAAAACAGTTAAACAGAGCATCTACTGCGTGAGAATGAGAGATAATGGATCACTTTCACTTTCGCTCTTGGATAGGGAAACCTTTACGCACAGACATCAATTAGTCTATAAATAATTAATTTTGATTGTTAGCGCAAATAGGCTATTAGTTTTCAAAACTATTTCTAAATTCAGTTCTAATTTCCAGCAAACGAATAAATAAACAATAATAACGAAGTGTGCGCAAAAACCTGAGTTATATCCTAAAACACATGCTGTGCCCCATATGGTCTTAAACCTGACAGGTGGGCAAATCTAAGGTTGTTTTTAATCAAACAAATATAAATATGGATATAATAAATAATACTGCTAATAATAATAACATTATACAAAAGCAAATTACAAACTAAAAAAAGCCTCCCGAGATAAAGAAGACATAAAAGCAGTGGTTTTTCATATTTATATAGGCTAGAAAATAATATGTTTTGTAATATTTTAATCCTTTATATTTATATCCTATATCTATTCTTATTATATCCTATATATATCCTTAATATTTAAATATTTTCATATGTAAAGATATTTGCCTATTGCTCTCTTGTGCGTATTAAGCAGTGCGTAAGCGAGGCGCAACTCTGCGCTGGAGTTTAGACCGGGTTAGTTTTGGTCTAATAAAAAATCTATTATAGTTTCTTAAAATAGTGACGCGCCAGCGGTCCGCCTCAGAACGCCTTCCTTTTTAGACCAGAACGACTATGGGCACACAAATGAGTGCTAATGCATTTGCTATTTAAACAGCGTAGCGCAACGCCTCAAAACGACTCTTGCGCCAAGCTGAAACTAGTAAAAGACTATTGCGCCGCACCTTGCGCCGGGTGTATGATAGGGCCCATGGTGTGAACTTTTACATTCATGTTAGAAGACATAGACAATTCACAATTAATAAACAAGAGCTTTTATTTGTAAACAATATTCAAAGTAGGGCAAAATAGAAAGGTGCATATAAGCGGTGCAAACTAAAATATAAAGGTGAATTAAAAAAATAAATAAATAAAATTGCAAACACAGACCAAAACACAATAACATATTAGACTGATCTACTTTTTTCTTCTGCTAACTGTTCACTTAAAGCACCATCACGTACCAATTCACCGACTTGCCTGTCGTGTTCTGCTTTTGTTCTCAATTTGAATGCTCCTGACTGGACCCCATTTTTCTGGATTTTACACCTCCTGGCAAAGCAAAATCGACATGGGAGTTTAACAGTGGAACTCTCCAGCAATTCAGTCAATAAAAAAGCACCTAGATGATCAGATGACACAAACATATGCTTCCTTTTACACAATCTCCTAACTGTTCAATGTATCCACTATGTTTTTCAAGAGTTTTATAATCTTGAACAAATGGGTGCAAGACCACCATGCTGTTTTACAGTGCTAGCCTTTATTAGTTTTGTTTGCAGTGGTGGGTTATTGTTTTATTGTGGGTGCAGTGGTGGGTCTTGGAACAGAAACAAAGGAAGACGAACAGGACGATGACTAGGCAAGGAATTAGGAAGGGTGGACTACCTGTTCTGACTGTGACAGCTGTGAACTTAAAAAGATGTATCCAGTAGTTCACTATAGAACTTCTTAGTTAACTAAAGAGCTTTAAGTCAATTTAATCAATGGCTGAGCTATTGTTTTTACTGTAATTTATTTAGTTTAATTTCTGAAATAAAGCCTTTGGTAAATCTCTTACATTGATTTTCAAATCTCCAACTGTGTTTTGTGAACAGCAGTGTGCAGTAAAGTAGTCTTTGATAATAATTACTTTTCAAAATAATAGCTTCAATTATTGCTTTGAACTTTATTTTTATCAATTGTAATTATTGTTAGTGATTTTGTACCAATAACATCTGATTATAGAAAAACAGCAGATCACCATGCTGAAAGTACAGTTTTAAATCACAAGAATAAAGGACATTTGAAAAGACATTCAATAATACAATAGTTTATACTGGCCTCACTAAGATTGGCTGCCTAACTGTTCAGTCAGCAACTTAAAAGTATAAAGAACCAAAGATACAGTTTGAAGATCTGTCTCCTTTATTCTTTTTTTTGTAAAACAGTGAAACACAAATAAATCTATTTTACTCTAATATAAAACTCGTGCAGTGCGTTTTATCACATAATAATTTTATCCTGATGAATTCAGCCATCATGAATGAGCAGTAATACAAGGCAAAACTATTCTTTTAACAGAAAAGTCATTACATTTATCATATCAGTCAATAGAAATTATGTTTACAGGGTATTAGTCTTGATGAAAATATCTAAAGCACAACGTTTAATGCTGTTTATGTCAAAATGAAAGTGAAACTGAAAGCAACACTCTCCCGCTACCGACATCTAACAGCAGATGGTGCTCAGACACCACATAAACTCAAATCCATTTATCATGAGCCACACAAATTACCGTTTCCCATGATTAAGCCAGAGGCCATTTCAAACGCACACACACACACACACACACACACACACACGTCCAACAAGTGAAGGACGATAGCAAGATCAGTCTTGCGCTTCTGTGGTTAAAAAAAAAGTATGTATTTAATTTATTTTCTTAATTGTTTAGACCCATAACGTGTATTTATAACGTCCTTTTATTTTTTGTACATTACTATGCTCGTTCGTGATCTCGTGCAATGATTTAATGTTATATTCAATTTATGTTTAGTTGGTATTTGTGATGTTAATGTGAGCGTACTGGCATTCATTGAGCTCACAATGAAATGTTTATTGGTAACGTTACCGAATGAATTATATGTCGTTTGTTATCAAGACCAGCCCTAAGTCGTCATTTGTGGTTTTGCTCCATTTTAACGTAAGCAAGTGTGCGTGAGGCGCGCGATTTGGAAAGATAACGTGACGTTTTTCCATTTTTAATCCGTGGTTATGTTGACTTGCAGTGTCTGTGAATTTAAGTTTGTTTCATTGTCTCAATATTTGAAGCACTGTAGAACTCACAGACATGTAAACATCAAACTTTTTTTGTGTGGCCACAAAGATTGTGGAAGAAAATTTTCCTCATTCAATTCCTTTGTGGTTCAAATGTCACCAACACACCCAGACAGGCGGGCCATACAAACTCGGAACCGGAATGTGTCTTGACAACTAAAGTGTTCTTTGAGTTTTTGTAACACTGAGTATGGAGATGTGAAAGGGCTGGTTTTGGCTGATAGTTGTCCTTTTAATGGATGCTCCAAGCAATTCAGTATATAGACATCTTTTTCATCTCATATCTCTATGTATCATAGGTGGAAAAGCAGCCAGATCTCACCTATTCATCTATGTTAGGGTTGCAGAACAGTCTTCTCCAGGTGAGGGAGCCCTTGTTTCTCATTTTCTACCTGAAGTCATTGATGTAGGTGATACAGTTGATGCTAACGTTTACCAACATAAAGATGCAGAGCCAGGTGACTGTATAGACAATTTAGCTATATTTTTTTTTAGGTTGGGAGGCAAAGCATTTAATCCCAGCCTCCACAATTACTGAGATGGCAAATCAAATAAAGACTATTCAGGATGTTCAGCATGATTATACAATAAATGTGTTGTCTAAAAATCTTGAAAGATATGGGCCCTATCATACACCCGGCGCAATGGGAAACTAGCAATGTTATTTGCTAGTTTCAGCTTGACGCAAGTGTCGTTTTGCACCATGTTGTTTAAATGGCAAATAAATTTGCACTCATATGTGTGCCCGTAGGCGTTCTGGTCTAAACAAGGAGGCGTAATGAGGTGTAATGCTGGCGCGTTGCTATTTTGAGACAACTAAAATAGACCGCGCCATTGATCGACTGAAAGTTGGTCTAAAGTCCAGCACACTGAGCGCAGGTTATATCTGATTATTTAAAGAGCGCGTTAGTGAGAGGCAGTTCCAATGCGACAAGTGGCTTATTTCACACACATGATACGCAGCACAAGTTATGTTTAAATATGAAAAAAGAATGAATATGTAATAATAAAAGATTATTAGCCTATTGTGTACAAAAATAAAAAATGACTACATGACATAATGGATAGCGATTGCATGCATCAAATTAGCTCAACTATCTGCAGTAATGATGCATGAAATTGGCTAATGACTTGACCAATCAGACCAGTACTTGCATATATTTAAACTGACTTTTTTGGTTGAGTTTGTGTATCACCAACTATACAAGTTTGGATCCAACGTGAGCAACTGAACAGCCGACTACTGAACATGTAATTTGAGCAAAATATCTCTTATTGATCTCCTCAGTGTACCTATTTGATCAATAACAAATTTTATCAGTAATTATCAGTAGCCCAATGTAGTTTTGCATTTACTCTGTTTAGCCAAATGGAGTACCTTATGGGCCAAAGAATTGGGAGACGGAGGAGGCCGAGGGTCTCCCAAGGTAACCGAACTTTGTCATCTTCTGGCAGATGACTTACAAACTAATGCATCTTGCCCATATGCACTCCCCGTTGCCGTAAAAGTGCTGCACTACATTTTTTTGCGAGCGGGTCTTTTCAACATTCCCTCAGTTCTATTGGCGGCATATCCCAACCTGCCGTAAGTTCGGCTATACATGCAGTAACATCAAGCCTGGTCCGACATGCACACAAATTCATTAAATTCCCTGTGACGTTGTATTTCAATGTGTTCAAACTGAAAACGAAAAATAAAAATATGGGAAAAAAAATTCCCTGTGACACCTGCAAGCCAAAATACACTTAAACATGAGTTCTGGGCTAAATTTGGGTTTCCTGGTGTTGTTGGTGCAATAGATTGTACCCACGTGCAACTACGTGCCCCATCTGAAAACGGTCTGATTTACGTTAATCGCAAAGGAACCCATTCCATCAACATCCAGGTAATTTGCGATGCAACGTGTGTGGTTACACATGTATTTGCAAACTATCCTGGATCAAGCCATGACTCCTTTATTCTAGCCAACTCTGTCATTCCTGCAATCTTCCACTTCCACAGACGGGTGGCTGTTAGGGGACAATGGCTATCCATTAAAGACATGGCTGATTACCCCATATATCATGCCTACAACAGTGAGTGAGATGTTTTTTAATCGAAAACACACAAAAGCACGAGCTGTCATTGAACATACATTTGGGATGCTAAAAATGCGCTTCAGGTGTTTTGCCAAGTCAAGGGGAATACTGCAGTACAGTCCTAAAAAGGTCGGAGCATTCTTTGTGGCATGTTGTGTTTTGCATAACATTGCCATACGCCATGGATGTCTCTTAGACACAAATGAGGATAGATTACAGGATTTTAGAAGGCGTGAAGCTGAAGTGCATGTGCCAATGCCAAATAATCTAAATTCTCAAGCAGCAGCACGGGCGAGGAGAGACCAGCTGGCAGAAGAGCTGCTTCACCTGTAGACTTGCAAGTAAGCTGATTTTTTTTTTTTTACTTTTAAACTGTGTAAATATTGCATTTGACTTAACCTCTGGATATAATGGCAGCCATTTTGTTTAAATTTCTTCATTAAAACACACACAGCAATGTCCCAGGTCCTGAAACGCCTTTGCTCTCGAAATGTACAAATATTAAGAGCTTTTTTCCTGCTGTACAAGCAAAGCATTTTAGTGGATTTTTTTGCAAATTAGTAGACCTAAAGAATAAAAAAAAAACTCAGTTTATGATTTTATTTTTATTTAGATTGCAATGATGCCACGATCGTACGTGTGTGTGTGTGTGTGTGTGTGTGTGTGTGTGTGTGCGCGTTTCTTTACATTCTAAACTTAAATGTTTGGCCTGCTTCCTCCTCCTGTTCGCAGTCGCGAAACTCCAGGAACAGCAGAATATTCAGCCAGCGGAGCTGCATAAAATGCAGATAATTCACTTCATGATTGTTGCTGAATTATTTAAATAAAAGTTATTCAACATTGAATGTTTTGTACAAATTCTTTTTTTTTTTACTTTATCTTGTTTAATAAAAAAATGCATTACCTTGCACGCCCACCTCTAAACCACATAACCCCTCAATGCTTTCAGCACTGAGAGTAGAGGCAGCGATGTCCTCCGCTGGCGTAAGGTCTAAAGTGGATGCAGGTGGTCCTCCTCCCGTGGTCACCTGCTGTTTTTTATTAGCGGCGAGATTTGTTTTTCCCTGTCTTCTGACATCATTGTACCTTTTTCGGCATTGTACAGCCACACTTATGATGCCAGAAGACGAGGACACAGTCGCTGCTATCTCTCC